TTTCTAGTTGTTGCTTGGAGGATGGGAAGGGGTTCTTTCCCCCCTCCCGTCCCTCCCGCAGAAGTCCGTCCTAAATCCACCTATGCTTGTTCTCGATCAGGTGCTAAAGATACTTTTTACCGGCTATTGTATGTCATATGGTAAATAAGGCCTAGATTTTTCAGTGAATTGCTTTATATTTTTTGATGGCAGTACTACCTGGACACAATGGTGGCGTATTGAGCTGAATTGCTGTGTTTCCCGGAACGAGAACATTATTGCCCAGAATTCTTGCACCGAGATTTTTATGTCACCCAAAAAAGGATGTGCAAAAGCAGCGCACCACTTTTCCGGAATCAAGAAGCGTTTTCATCTAATTTCAGGCATGACCACGACGACCACACGTGCTCTCACGCCGCTGCTTGCATTCTGCAGTCGCGCCGCCGCTGCTGCTGCTGCTGCACAGAGTGTGCGCTATTCTCATGCGCTCTGGTTCCCGGACGCGAAATTCTACCGCGACTTCAAGGTAATTTAATTTTAGTTGGCAAATGTTTATGAAAGATGTAAGGAAATAAAAAAGGAAAATGTGAATAAAATCTGAATGGGAATGTTTCGGTCCATCAAGTATATCCTTACTTTGAACAGTTCTTAGTGCTGGTGAGCGCACCCACTGGTCACTCACTGCTTGTCGATTTAGAAAGGCAGCGTTGTGGGAACTGTATGGGCACCGAAGGCCGCCGAATACGAGAAGCAGATTGGCACGGACAAAGTACTGGAGGAATATTACCAGAGACCGAGGCTATCCGATATTCTTGAGATGCATGAGAAGCCGCTGCACTATTACCTCCTCAATTTTGGTCCTCAGCATCCGGCAGCTCACGGCGTGCTTCGGCTTGTCCTCGAATTGGATCACGAGGTTCGTCACGTTTTTACGCAAATTTTGATGCAAAAAAAAAACTTTGTCGTTCTGGATTCGCATTGTCTTTGCATGCAGTACACCGTCGTCATGTTATGGAGCACTGTTTTTCCTTATTTTGCACTAGGTCTTGGCTTGTGAGCGCCATTTTTGTGGTTCGATAAGCTCGGCAAAACAGTTATTTTTTTTTTTTTTTGGGAAATGTGACACACAAAAACAACTGCATTTTGTGTATTTGGGAAAAAACATGAGCAGATTGTCACATTATCGTGTGATGTGATTATCATCCGGAAGGGTTGTTATTGTTAACTCTGTTGTGAGTTACAGATGGTTGTGAAAGCGACGCCACATATTGGCTTGTTGCATCGCGCCACCGAGAAATTGATTGAGTACAAAACGTACACGCAAGCGTTGCCGTATTTTGATCGCTTGAATTACGTCACAATGTTGACCAATGAGCAAGGATTTTCATTGGCGGTCGAGAAACTATTGGGAATAGAAATACCTCCACGAGCTAAATGGATTCGCAGTATGCGTTTTTCAGCCTCTTCCTCCTCCTCCAGGAGCTCTTTACCCCCGATACTCGTCCTCAGCAACTGCACCGAGTCAGACAAGTAATCGAAAGATGCGATATGGTTTTCTACAAAGCAACTTTGGCAGAGGCGTTCTTATGCAAGTGATCCTCTCACTCGCACCATCATCATACAGTATTTTCTACCTCTTTTTTGAGGAACTGATTTGTCGTGTTTTTCGCTTTTAAATGCACAAAAAAAAATGCGCACTTGAAATGTAGTAAAATCGTTGTTGCAGCTTTGTACTCGGAGCTGAATCGTCTTGCCAATCATGCGTTCAGTGTTGTCACTCATGCGCTCGATATTGGTGCAATGACGCCGTTGTTCTGGATGTTCGAAGAACGTGAAAAACTGTTTGAATTCAAGTGAGTACCATTTGATGCGTTTTTCTTTTTTGCATATTTTTCAAGTACGCACCGTCGCGGAAAAATTAGCTCTCTACCTCTTTCTTTTTTTTCG